TCTCTCTCTCTCTCTCTCTCTCTCTCTCTCTCTCTCTCTCTCTCTCTCTCTCTCTCTCTCTCTCTCTCTCTCTCTCTCTCTCTCTCTCTATCCTCCTCCTCTCTCTATCTATCCTGATAGCAGTATGAGCACTTCATTGTTTCATACTGCACGCAACACTGCAATAGTTCCTTCATCAAAACAACATTATATATCAACAACATGGATGTTCATCGTCATCGTTTGCAAAATGTTTTGCTACAATTGCCATTTAAATGCGATTTATATCAAGTTTAAAATTTTATCATTATTAACAATTTCATAGAAATGCACAAAAGATGAAAATGGCGATCATCGGATATCATTCGTGCATCTCGCCCATATCCATCAACTCCAACGCCTGTTCGGATCCGTTGAGATCTGGTTGCGCATAGCTATGATCAAACAAATGGCTGTCGCTCGATGAGTTGGCGAAGTCTCGAGATCGGGCAGAGGTTGGTACGTTCTCCGAGTGAGCATTTCCGCCATTACCACTCCGATCGTGATTTGGTATATTTTCGTGGGTCGTTGAGACTGTGGACATTCTGACTTCGACGTCGTTGACGTTCGTCTGCGCACCCGCCGCGTCTCGCCCAATCAGAGGTCGAGACTGCGTTACAGTCGCTACGTCACTGCGAATAATTTGCTCGTTGTGAATCTCTCTATTTTCTGCAATCCTCTGTTGAGTGGAAGAGTATAAACGGCCTGACACGTCTATGCTCCCCCTTGCGGTGGAATCGGTCACGACATCTTCAAGGTTCACCGGGGCTCTAGACAAAGGTTGGTTATGCTGGTGAAAATGACCATGAAATGCTTCGCGAAGGACGCTCCACATGGCGCTCAGTTCCGACCAGCAGCTGCGATAGAACGCTGGCCCCGTCGCAAAATTTAGATTGCCAACATTATGAATAGAGTCATCGCGTACGTCATATGGGTGTACATCTGGATCCGTGTCTCCGTCTATTTCATCCGCTAGATTGTATGCTGTGTTCTCAGGTACGTTGGCGTTTATCCAACGCGATCGATAAGGTGTGTATCCGTGAAACGGGAGTGAGTTTATATACTGAGTTGGTATGTACTGATGACCGATCGGCATAGCATTTATGTTGACGGGCAAATGCGTTGCTGTTGCAGCACCGTCGTTTTGCATCGGTTGCGTGGGTTCCTCCAAGCTGTTGTGTTCTGACTGCGAGCGAGAGAGTGGCTGAGGGTCTTCTGGCCCAGTTTGTCTATCCACCTAACAAAAGTTGCGTAAAAATATTGTGAACAGTTTTATCAGATAGCGTGTTGGTTACGATTTTAACATGCATGCGTTACTGTCTTTATAATACTTGATCGATGTTTGTTTTATTGGCTTTTGGTTAATATATCCGATAATTACTGAAATGATATACCGAAAACGATATACGAATGTACTCAATGAGATACTGAAATTTTAACCAGTTCTGTTCAACCCAATGCGATCAGTACCCGATTGTCAGCCAAATGAATTGGAATAGAAAAATAGCTCAGTAAGTCTCGAGTCATACGGTCATAATATTATGGTCATACTGGTGTTAGTGATTCCGTAATGGAAACTCGAACGCTACAAATTAAAGCTTTGTCATGCGCGTGTCGCACGTTACGAGCGTTGTGACTGTTACCCGGGCCTATTAAGCTAAGGCAATTGGTTATAAGCGGTGCAGTGGTTATGTGTAGACAGACAAGTTACTTTAACAGCCAACGTAAACTCGCGGTAGAGGAAGTACATCGGCAATAGAGCTTGTTCGGTTTTGGTGCGTCGTAAAATAATAAGTCACTCACCCTCCGGTCGTCTGGAACGAACCGCAACCGGATGAGGGATAATAGCGATGTAGTAGGAGCAGCAGCTCTGTAGCGTCGAGTTACGGGTAATAACAACACCCGAAACCGCGCAACCCTCTCGTGCTGACACAGGGGCAAAGCTCTACATTATATATACTAACCATGGAATTGTAGCGGCACGTCAGATGTCGCTCTCGGCTGGCTTTATATCCCTCCACGCAGTTCGCCAGCGACACGTTTTTCATTGCCGCGGCCGCGTTGACTCTCACGCTGACTCTGCAACTTGGACAGCGAATGTTCACCGCGCCGGTGGATAGTGGCGTCGGCGGCGGAGCGCCCGGTCGCCACGAGCCCTCCAGCGCGTCTGGCAACTGCGACGTGCGACGGTCATCTGCGTTACTGCGGATCTGGCGCATCGCGATTTCGTTGAGGGCGGCCTGCGCGCGAATGCGAAGGTCGTTTATCTCTTCGGCTGTCAGCGGCCCGGCGATCACGTGACGGTTATTGTTCGACACGTTTGGTGACGCGACGGGGGCGTCATCACTAGCGATGGTGCTGCCTCTGGCGGAGTCACTGCTCACTTCAACGGTCTGGGCGATGTCGGCGTCCGTGATAGACAATTCTTCGTCTGTCTCCACGTCGCTGCGCCGCGAGAGGGAGCTGCTGGCGACGCGGCTGATTTCGTTACCAGCGCCACCTGTCGACGCGTTAGTCTCGTCGTGTCGATTCTGTGTGTCACTGCGCATTCGATCGGCCGAGGTGAGGGCGTGTCCGTGTTGCTGGTTCGCGGCTGCACTCTCGGCTGTCATTCTCGTGTTATTGACAAAAGTTGCTGCTGCGTTCGTTACAGCAAGTAGCAACGAAGTAGGAGAGCTGGTCCTATTAACACCGACGTCGGTATCCACACCGAGATTCAACGTGGCAGCTGCGCCTCGGTAGTTAGTTCTCGCTGTCGTCGTCGTCGTTGCCGTCATTCCGGCACTCGTTGTTTCCTCGTTGATGGTCCCTCTTTCGTCTGTCAATTCTGCAGCCTGCGTGCCATGCCGAGACGCTGATGTATCGAACTCTGAGTCGGTGATCGTGGACTGATCTGCGCCTACTCTCGCGTCGCCTTCGATCAGGTTGTAAATCTGTTCGTTCACTTCGGCCTCGAATTCCGGTGGAACGACATCCGGCATGAAATCCGTGCTCGCCACCGAGCTTGCGAGAATGCGGCGTCTCGTGCTACCTAGCTGCTCGATTGACTCCACGTAGCTCCTGCTCTCCTCTCGTTGACGCGACAGGAGCGGAGTCGTCTCAACGACGTCACGTGGCGTGTCATCATCGGCCATCGGCGGCATTGACGACGAATGGCTATCGTTTGCCGCCTCTGTAGATCCGATACGGCCATCTGGCTGCTGCGAAATGCGCTGTTGGTTTTCACTATGATTTTCGCTCTCGACTGATTGCCAGTCTTCCGGATCCAAATGGCTGTCGTCATTCGATGAAAGACTACTTGAAATACTACTAACGCTAGCACTTCCTTCCCTCGTGACGTCCGTGATTTCATATTCTATGTCTGTGTTTGCGCCAGCTGCCGTAGAAGGCAAGTTCCTGTTAGTAATTCGCACTTCTATAGGACGAGAGAAGCTATCGGCGGGGGGTTCGGCTTCGTTAGAGCTCCCATCGCGCACCGGCCGGGGTTGATCGCTTCCTATCATCTGTGAGTGATCCGGATGAGGAATTGGACCGTTAGCAAGGGACTGACTTCCACTCGCCTGACTGCGCCTTGGAGGCCGAAGCCTGGGACCCACCATCGGCAGCGTGGGGCGTGACGGTGCGTCACTAGCAGCAGCAGGCGGCGACGGCTCGCTTGGCCATGCGTTTCGTAGATGATGCGGCGTCACCGACATCAACTCATCCGTCTCCATGTTCACGATGTGCGTCCTTGTCAGAACTGTTGCGTTCTGACGAGGAGACGCAGCAGCTTGACGCGCCACGAGGCGAATATCATTCAAGGAATTCTGATAGACCGCGCCATCTTCACTCTGTGACTGCCCCGACTGCGTGCCCGTGTTCGACCGTTGGCGCTGCGGTAACGGGTCGCTTTGGTCCGCCGTGGAGCGCCATCTCTCGGCTGCTTCGCCGAACTCTCCAGCGTTTGTCCATTCCTCCTGCGCGGCCCATGGGGGACCGAGAGGCGTGTACGGCGCGTAGGTTGGTAGAGGTGACAGCTACAAGAGAAGTTGGAATCGCTGCATTTCTCCTCGTTATCGCTTGTGATAACGGAAGATTTCTGCGTGCGGTATGGACTTGTGCGGCACTGGGAGATAAATGGGACGATGCACGCACAGAAAACATTTCATTTATTCAAATATTTTAGGTTAATGTTAGCCGCGTATAAAAAAACAATCATACTGGAATCGCGTGGTTAAACGTTTGTACAGACAGACACACAACCTGGGCCATCGGTATATAAACCACACTTGACGCAACGTTTATATATTATCTTTTTTATATATAAATTCGATAAATCAATGTCAGTAGCACGAAATTTACTGAACGCGCTGAATTCTAATTCTAGTTTGCGTACCTTCTTTATACATATACGACAGAACGTATGGCCACATGTCAGTGTGACTGGTTCTTGGAAATAGTCAAGACAGACATCACAACGTAGATACTTCGACCAATGCTCAAACGTATTTCCAGAATCAATAGAATCTGATGACTGGCATTTCATAGGCGATGCCTGCGCTGCATCCTTATCTGCGTCCATTCCTGGGCATTTCACCCTCCCCCTTCATCGAGGTATTCTGCCCAGTTCCCTAGCAGGTTGCCTAGTAACGAAGTTACTACGCCAACAATTATGATTTATAAATTGAGCTGAAACAGTACTAAATTAGCTGTATTTGAACTTGAAACTATTATTTAGCGCCAACTAACCGGTAATCACATCTCTTATTTGGTTCAGCGTCTCCTGTGCCACCGCCTTTTTGTTCGGCCACTAAACTCACATGTGTCGATTCGTAAAAATTGGAGGAACTGCTGGCTTCCACACGATTTTGATTCTATAAGGGTTATTACCCGTATAATACGTTTCAACGACATAAATAACAGCGTGTGACAAACAAATACAATACAGTACCATCGACTGTGCGCAATATGCTATCAGCAGCACATGTATGACATGCATTTTGTTTCATAATTCGATTTTTTGTTTTATGGTTGATGTTATCACATATAACATTCACGGATTGAATGCTTCGATTCACGGATCGAATAATGCGATCCGTGAATCGAATCATTCGATCCGTGATGGAAATAGAGGAAGAGGGACGAGGTATATGAGGAGGGGAGAAGGTGGTACAGGAGGAAGGAGAGAAGGTAGAGAACGAAGGAAAAGTTAGTGGAGGAGGAGGAGGGGAAGGAGGGAGGAGGTCGAGGATGGTGGGAGAAGGCGATGGAGGTAGACGAGGGAGTAGGTAGAGGATGGTGGGAGAAGACGGAGGAGGTAGAGGAGGGGGAGAAAGTGGTGAAGGAGGGGGAGGTAGAGGGTAGAAAGTGGTGGGGGAGGAGGTAGAGGAGGGGGAGAAAGTGGTGAAGGGGGGGGAGGTAGAGGGTAGAAAGTGGTGGGGGAGGAGGTAGAGGAGGGAGGAGGTAGTGGTGAAGGGGGGGGAGGTAGAGGGTAGAAAGTGGTGGGGGAGGAGGTAGAGGAGGGAGGAGGTA